TGTGTGAAAAGCAGTAAATATTATTATTCAAACCGCCTCTCATTCTTAAAAGCAAAATTTAAATTACTGGCTAATTATGGATGAATCACTTCTGAGTCAAGAGCAGCGCTATCTATTGTAAAATGGATTCTACCTAAACAATATTCAGTTCCATTGTTGAGGTCCATTAGTCTAATCTTTAACGAGTCCTGCAATTGTCCTGAGATCCCGAGTAGCTCTTTAAGTAGTAGTTAGCTGATTTGGAATGTTCGAATTTATTGGAACATCCCATAAACGCATGATGATTCTAAAAATTCTTTTTAAGATATTGTTCCAATTTATAAGAAATGGGGATCAAATATTTCGACAGAAAATGATACAATTATTTTAATAAAATAATTTCCCTATAAGTTCTAGATTAATTTTGTACTAAATAAGCACTTTAATTAAAGAGTTATATTTAAAAGTACATAAATTACAAATAAATTAAAATGTTCTAAGTAGGAGCCAAATAAAATTTGAAAAACAAAATTTTTAAGATTATTGAAGCTTGCAATAAAGAAATTAACGTATTGCAAAATAAAGTAAAGTATTTTTTTTAAAGTTATCTCTGTTACTCTAAATATAAATCTATGCATAAGAACATATCTAAAAATAATACTTGCTTAAAATAATTGTTTCACACAACAATAGTATTCCAAAAAAAATACAATAAACTACAACTTTTGATTCTTATAACATAAGACGCATTTCCTCATTCAATTGGTCATTTAAATCTTGTTGTTGTTACTATTGCCTCCTGTCTGATGGTGTGAGATCGGGCAAAGGTTTAGATGTACGACTGTCGTTGGCCGTCTTTTTGAGCATCATACAGGTGACAGTACGATTTGGCTCGATTCCACCTCAATTTTGAGGAGGAATTCCATTAAGGTTGTCAGCGCCTCCCACCTCTCTTGCCCTCACGAGAAGACTTACGGTTATTTAGGGTACACCTATGTCGCACGGGCAGTTTACATTAACAAACATCCATGCCTTCTCCGGGATTCGAGCCCAAGCCTAATGAAGCAGCAGTCAGTATTACTAACCACTATACCGGATGGGTGGATCATTAAAAGCATTAAGCAAATGTAATGCTTAAAGTCAAATCAAAATAACTTTTTGCAGAAAAAACGAGCATATAGAAAGAACTTTTCACATTTCTTTCAAATAAATAAAAAAAATCAAATTCCTTATCTGAAAAGAAAATGTGTTTATTTTTATTTTGTAGAATTTACTTTTAAAGGTTTGATGGCGTAGGTTGTTGATTCATACAAGTTTTGATTTTACACAGACTTCTAATAAAAGTTTTCTCAACTCTTTCATAAAATTAATATTTTTCTCTCTCCTAGTATTGAGGTTTGAATAACTTGTTACTTTTTAGCTGACGAAGGTCTGAGTGTTGGAAACCTAAGTCATCAAATACCATATGATGCTATAATAGATACTAAACTAACTAAACTTTTTTGACGTTGTTTATGTAACTTGCTACAACAAAAATGTGCAAGAAAAATAGTAAGTAAATAAATATTAGTGGAGAAGATAAATATCGAGTAGGATGTAGTCGAATGATTCAAAAAAGAAAAATGGTACCTCAAACTCATTGTAAATTAGAAGTTACGCGGTGAGTTTCTCAATTGGAAATCGCATTTAAATGCTGGTTGAGTGTGACAGGAACGTGATATGCAAAAATAAGGAAAAGCGACTACACACAGGATCGTACAGACCTTGAGGTAAAAAGTGAGCTTGTTTGCTGCATGACAAACATGCTCATGGACATTGCGGCAAAGCTATTGAGAAATTTCCAATGTCCGCAGCATGGAGACGCTCGGCTACAATGGTGCTGTCAATGACAATACTGGATATATAAGTGTGGCACTACATCGTCTGTTCAGATGGCCCTGATTCTGCGTGCAACATGATGGAAGTACGGAGACAACGAGGGAAAACACAAGATCTTTTTTTAATTTTATATTGCAATAAAAAATCTTGTTCTTGGTGTAATGGTATGGTCAGCCACCGGGTGCAAGACATGAACACCTCTTGTTCGCAATGTCAGTAATTTGAACGGCCGGCGTTCAATTTCTTAGATCGTAAATCGTTGGCAGTGCCCTATCTTTGGAAACGTCATCTTTCAACAAGATAATACAAGATTGCATGTTGCCGATTTTATCCTAACTTATCTTGATATAGAAAGTATTTAACTATTTCCATTTTCAAATACCATTTTCATACCAAATAAAATAAACTATATATTTTAGTATTTACTTTGTGAAAACAGTCATTTAAATAATTTCATTTAATCAAATTTTAATATTAATTTAATATTTGTATTACACAAGAGAGATATTAAGATTAAGATTAAAAATTATAATATTGAGATTAAGAGGTATATACTCTTTCCCATAACATTCCTTTCAATTCAAGCCTGCAACAAAATTACATCTCATTTTAGAGTGATTCTATCATCTAATGTTACAGTAAAGAAACTTCTTACGCCATCACTAAGTAAAACACGCGCATTTCTTTAAAATTTTATTAATACAATTCTTTAAAAATGTAATTTTGTTTATTCTTTAATAAACAGTAAAATGATACTTTGTACTGCGACACAATGAGGACAGATGGTGACATTGGTTCTCCAAATTTGAGGACAAAATGTAAGTGCACCGAGAACAGTTTGGAAAAGTCTAGAAAGATTATTGCATTAAACATTTTTATAATTTCGTAGAATAGTTTTCCAGGCTATATACGAGTAAAGACAAGGCAAAGAATCAACACTGTAGCTTAAAATTTGAAAGCGACAGTGTGTTTAATTTGCTGTATTCGATATTGTGTCTACTGATGCTCTATGCTCTGTTATTTTCTGTGTTTTAAACGTGTCTTAAATACTTGTTGTAATAAATAAATGAGAGCTTCAGAATGAATTTCGCGCGCGCGCGCGACTTTTCCCTAAACTGCTTGATGATTAAGTTAAACTTCATTACAATTGCAAGCCACTCAACTACACATACGAATACTCTAATTCTATTCATGATAAATAGGAAACTGATCAAAATTAGAGCAAATGGTTATTCAAACAAACGAAAATACATCACACATTTAAATATCAAGTAAATAAAGTGCCAAACTTTTATGATTATCTTACCAGGGCTTTAAATGTTTCATCTTTATATATGTTCTTTCGATTATTTAATGATTCTTTGAAGATATTTTTAAGCTAAAGTATTAAAAAATGCATTAATATGAAACAAAGATGAATGTATATTAAAGAAATTAAATGGCATTATTTGCTTGACACTAAATAATTTCAAGAAACGCATCTTCAGATATTTCCGAAATATTGATTATTCATGTGACAGAGAAAAGGTTGAGGCGATCATTTTCAATGCCTGCTATAATGGCTCCAAATAATGATAATGAGGAAAAAGAAATGATAATGCGTAATTACTGTAATGAAGTATTGCGTAAGCAGCCATGCATGTTTTGCCTGTGTTAACTAACATGTCAAGCGGAAAGCATTTTTCTTACCACTCCAGGCTTTATCATTAATTAAATCTACCAATTTGATAGAGTTCCTGCTTGTGAAATGAGCTCTTCTTTCGAACAATATTCTCAGTTTTTAGATTTGAAACTTGCCGACTTTTTTGCACTTAATTTATCAAGAGAATTTTACGGAGGATGAGCTTTAAACTAATTTACTTGATGTAAAATTAATTACATGAGCTACGCGGAGGGTATAAAGAATGTATTTTTTCGAAATTCTCTTCTCGGCATTCGAGAAAATTATGTCAAATTATTCTGTGAGAGTAAATATTCTATCATTTACACTTACTTTTTTCGAACGCTGAATGGAGTTTACTTTTGCTAAAATGTGTTACAAATAAGAAAAGTTTATATTACGCTTTCGATTTCCGATTCTTTTGGTGGATAATTTGTCGGTTTCAGATTTTGTAACATGATTATAATAAATGATACGCATCACTTTATTTTCTTTCCATTTTCATTGTGTTTGAGTAAACAGAAAAGGTTTTTTTTTTTATTGAAAACTCATTTGTAACTTTACATTTCAACTTCCATTATCAGAGAACTGTCATTTTTGTATAGAAAAGAATATGCTTATTTTATTTGTATCGAATGTCCAATAAATATGCATGATATTTCTGTTTACCGAACTAATTAGAACTTGAATAAAACAAATATTTACGAACATAATGGAAAAATAGGAATAATGGCCTTTCAGATACAATGGTAGGGTAATTAACGATATATTTTAGCATACTGTAAAGATCCAAAATATTGTCCTTTTATTATTATTAAACTTTTAAAAATTGTAAGAAATTATTCTTTTCTTTTCGAATTATATTTATAGTGTGCAAAGTAATATAATTAAATCACATCCTATTTTATCTCTCTTTGTCCGTATTTCAAAATGAATCTGCATTTTGGCATTTACGCTTAATGTGGCATTTAAATCGATTTTAATTCTTAGTAAACAGCTCGAATTTTTTCAACCATTAAGTGATTTTTGTTTAGGAAAAGATATCATTAGGCTTAGACAAAAATGGATTTGAAAATAATAGATTTTACGTCTTCCCCAAATTTGAATTTAAATTTAGGAAAAAAGTACTTTACTAATTAAACTTCTGTGAAATTTTTCGTCTTCAATATTTTCGATTAAAATCTAGAAACGCAAATGTGTACTTATTTTAATACATATTTTTCAATTCCTACTTTTAGTTCACGCTCACCCTATATATATATATATATCTTTTTTAAATTTTCGAACGTTAATAAAATACTTTCTACTCATTCGTTCAAGTTCAAATACATATTTTATAAACTTGTAGTAGAGGACACTTTTTTTATGTTAATACATTTCTTTTTCAAATATTAATTCATTAATTAAATTAAAAAATGAATAAATAGTAACAAACAAAAATAATAGTCCAACAGCATACATAGAAAGGAAAATCGTTCGTTGTGTCCCTGTAGGGCAACGGATAGCGCGTTGGACTTCTTAGCCAAATGTCGTGGGTTTGAATGCCACCTGGGATGGTCTAATTTCTGAGAATGTGATTTCTATTTTATTTTAATAATTAAATTTAATTAATGAATAAATTGTAACAAACAGAAAAAATAGTCTAACTACATATATAGAAAGAAAAATGGAAAATCGCTTTCTATTTTGTCACTTAGCATTGTGATTCTGTCATATGTATATACATATTTATATTACTTGTAACTATTTAATAAAAAGTACAATTGTCCCTGAAGTATCGCAATCTAGATTTTTGCTCAGTTTTCAGAAGTGAACTAGTAGCCATTGACACGGGACTTGAGGCCATTCTATCTAAGAAGAATTACGGTGATCTTTGGATTCTCTCCAATAGTCGTAGTTAACTTCAACACCTTTTCAAATGGTTTATTGTTGGCCACAAAACCAGTGTCTCCATCTTACACAAACTGAACCATATATCGCTGCACCATGATATTCATTTTCAGTGGTCCCATCTCACTTCGAACTTTACGGCAATGAAATGGCGGACAAACTAGCAAAGAAGGGCTGTAATCTTCCAACTCCTTCTAAATCCACCCTTTTCTATCTGGAATTATACACGTTAAAAAAATCTCAAAATTTGGTGGAATGGAGAGCGCCTCCCACTCATCATTGGTATGCGGGTAATAAACCCGGATTGGCCCTAACCCTCAAGTGTGATAGATCCTCCCAGACTACACTTTATCGTCTTGCTAGTGGTCACATCAAGTGTCTTTCATTCTCAGCGAACAAGAAGATCTTCTCCATCTGTGCAAGGTGTCAAGATCACCAGGCTTCCCCGGAGCACATAATGCGTTGTATAAATCTCACAAACAAAGATATCTACATGGATCCTTTTTTTTTTTGTGCTGGACTTTTTGAGAGTCAACGATTTAATTGACCTTGCCTGACTTCGTCAGACCCAGGAGGATTAGCAACAACAACATTTAATAAAAAGTAAATAAAATAAAAATTTTCTGTGTTAACCTAAGTAGGAACTGGCTTAACAAAATTTTGTTTGTATCACTTGTTAAGTTTAGGACCATAAAAGAAAAGTCTCAAAAATATTTCTTTAATTTAAATTTTTGTTACGTCGGTCTAATGATATCTTAGTACTTTTTAAATATTTGGTGAATTTTTACTTTTATCAGGGTAAAAAAATAATGAACATTTTCTACAGTCAAAAAAACCTTTCATGTATTGCTAATACGTACTATCACAATACTAATTTTTCAGGAGGTGAATGTCAGAAAAATATCAGAAAATATCTGAACTATTTAATGAAAATCTTGTTGATGTATGTGGAATTGTTACTGGCATTAATGAAAATTTGATTTTCGATAACTGATAAAATTGTTTTGTCGTCTACATCTGTAAATATACATTTAGATTTTTTTAGACAAAAAAAAGAATTTTATATCAATCTACCATCCTAATCTATCTTGATACAAGTGAGTATTTTGGAATTTTTAAATTGATTGTATCAGTTAAAATTGAGACTGGCCAGTTCCGGTATACATTATCTTAATCCCAGTATCTCAAATTCTCATCCCAGTTGTGTTTTGACTTGTACAATATCCTAGCGCTTTCTTAAGGCACAATATCACTCGGAAATTTATGATACTCTGTTTTGAATCGCGTGTGTTTGAACAGCGTTAGATGATACAAATGAACTCGTATGTGATCATAAAGCCGTATATTTTCTCTCCCTGATCCAATACTGTATGTGGACAATAGTGAATGTACGCTGGTTATCATAAACTAAAGAAAAATCCCCAAAATAGCGATAACTCGCCCCAAAATAAGCCAATCTCATTGAAATTTGAATATGTTGGTAAATAAAAAGGGCTCTGAACGATATTAAATATTATGCAAAATAGTGTCGATGCAGTCGAAATATGACGTTTGCGAGGAGCATAAAAATGGATACTTTTGAGCAAGGCGGCAATTGTCGCTACGTGTCTGAAATTAGAAATCTGGTATTGAAAAATTGTAACAATGACCTCCTGATATCATTTGATCGGAGAACTACAATGGCGAGATATTGGTATACTAGAGGCATATAAAAGTGGCTTACGCCTAAATGTGAATCCCTCTGTGATTCTTAGACTTAGGCAACAATTTCTAACCACGGATTTGGCATCCAAGAGGTTCAACTAAAGGTGACCGCGCTCTATTACGAGTGCCGATGATCATTTTTTATCATTATGCGCACGAAGGAATAGAACCACAACTTTAGCTGAACTCATATCCTCCCTTGCTGCAAGCCCCGGAAGGTTGGTATCAAGGTAAACCGTATATCGAAGACTTCAAGAACGTGGTCTTTATGCGAGCAATTATTTGCGTAATGCTAACGTCACGCCATAGACGAGAACGTTTGCAATGGGGACTAGACGCATGATCAATGGAGGGCTCTTTACGGATGAGTCCAGGTTTAGCCTTGAAAGTGATAGTAAACGCATTTTTATTTGGAGAGAACCTGGAACTCGTTTTCATCCATGACACATTCGTATATGGATCAGGCAATGTCTATGATTGAGATGGTATCTCTTTGAGAGGAAGCACAGACCTTCAAGTATTTTCTCGTGGAAATGTTAATGTCAAACTTATAGAGATGACATCATGGATGCTTATGTGCGTCCTTATACCGGGGCAATAGTTGAGGACTTCATGCTGCAGGATGATAATGGGGACCACACAGGGTGTAGATGCGTATCTTGAGCAGGAAATAGTTCAGCGCATACAGTGACCAGCTCGATCTCCAGACCTTAACCCTATCGAACATGTTTGGGGACGCTCTAGGATTACGTGTAGCTGCTCTCAATCCCTCTCGTAGGACCCTAACCACGCTTTCAACAGCCTTGAAAGAGCAATGGCTCACACTTCCTACAGAATTAATAGATCGCATAATTGAGAGCATCACACATCGCTACATATATTGTATTGCTTCTCGGGGTATCAAACCCTGTATTAAACGTGCATTTCCTATAAAAAAAACTGACACACCTGATTTGCTTATTGAAAACATGTGTTAATTTCTATAACACCATATTTGTCGGGGGATTTCTTTTAAGGCTATTTTATACCTTTCTACGTATTGTATGATGTGTATAAGTTTCATTCAATATTCTAGCATAGCCTTTTGAGTTATTGTAATTTCTGTGATGTTTCCTTAATTTATGATAATCAGCGTATTTAAAATAAAGAACTGAGATACCAAGAACAGTAATTTTTGTTTTTTACGCAATGTTGTATTATTTAGTCAACATCATTCTAGCCCTTTTGAAAATTCAAGAAGACAACTATCTATGTTGTAAATATTTGTTTTTAAAAAATGAATACTTTTTACTTCAGTGACTTGATTTTGATTGAAGTGAAGTGAATTGATTTTGACTAAAGAGTTGAATAAATTATATGATATATTTTCCAATCATCAAAAAAATATCAAAGAACTATATATATCACTTACTTTCAAAACTAAAAAACTTACTTTGATGTTATTCTTAACTCAGAAAGCATTGCCTGTTCGTATTTAAGATTGAAATGAGTTATTGCATGTACTCTTTAGTTTTATCTTCAAATATCAAATTAATATTTCATATTAAACGAGATAGATACACCGAAATACCCCATACATTTTTACCTAGAAATATTAATCTACTGAATAAAACATAGAACTGACTAAGAAATCCCAATATTAACAATATAATTTGTATTGTAATAAGAATAGGATTATTGCGACTTTTTTATTAATATTTCCTTTGTTTGATACACAGCACGAGAGGAAGGAAAAATGCTCTGCAGGAAGCAGCTGCCGGGATACTGCAGTCTGATCGGAACATCTTCATTACTGATTTCATCAAGCGGAAGGAGACACCATACAAGAAAAACACATCTATATGTTAGGGCTTTGGCCACTAATAGAGGACACCACGCACTCGAGACCTCAATAGCATCAAATGACCAGTCTGTCTCTAGAATCGCTTTCCGACTGTTATCGGAAAAGTAATTCATCTTATCTGTAATGCAGTTTGTTGCTGGTATCAACTATCGAGCGCCCAAACTTCTATTAATAGTCCTTCAGAAAAGCAGGAGTTCTGAGAGTTTTCGCATCTTATTCGAGATCAGCAATATTTCCCAATTCAAAAAGTGCTATTTCAGAGAAGGGGGAGCGCTCTACCTTTCTAAAACTGGATGTGAAAAATGAAAATATTTGGTTATTGATTCCCATTAGTGAACATCCAACAGAAATTATTTACAGCTGAACTCGAAGGTCGTGTCATTTAAATGTTTCCTTTCGAAGCAATAATGTTTGCTATTCATAGAGAGAGAGAGAGAAAGATTAAAGCTTCCATTGATTTTGAAAACATGAATTGCTTAAATCTATAACAGACAACGTAGTTTCTTGCAATGAAGTAATATTCATTTTTATGTTCCTAAAATGAATATTTTCTTGCCATACTGTAAAATATTTTTCAAAATTATATTTTAAAGATCCGTAAAATAATGATTTTACTTAGTAATAAGTATAATAATTGCAATTATAAACAATTTGTTTTTTAGTCTTATATATAATTCATATATATAATATATATTTTAAATTACTTCCCGCAATAATAACTACACAACTTTTTAAGTACAACACAGCAATATTCAGGATAAAAATAAGCACTGAAAACGAAATAATATTTAATTACATTCAAATAAAAAGTTTGAAATTTTTTATGCTCTTTTAATGCAATTACTCATAGGCATAAAAATCATGAATAAATTAACATCAAAATAATTTTAACGTTAAAACAAATTTATAAAAACATAAAATAATCACATAAAAATATGAATACACTTTTAAGTATTCGTATGATAATTATGAAAAAGTTCAAAAATTGATATTTTATTAAGTTCTCCGGAGATCTAATTAAGATTAATTAACGCTAATTTTCAAAAATAAAACTAATAAAACACACGAAAGATTATTATAGTTCTATCTTTATTAAGAACTCTGAATATTACTTCAAGG